AGGTGTTATTATCCGAGCAGCTGACTCTACTCTCTGTCTCTAGCGATTAGAGACACCAGGGCCATTTCCTACACGGGGTGTGCTGCACGGGTCTCTGTTTGTCTTCTTGAATTCAGAACAATGTTTCTTCTTCTTTCTGAACCTAGTTTCTTCACTTATTTTATTTTATTTTATTTTATTTTATTTTATTTTATTTTATTTTATTTTTCACTTCATTTTTTTTATTAACAGTAGTACTATTTTATATCCTTTTGCTACATTAACTATTGGATTTCTTCCACCTTAACTGAGACTTCTCTGTTGCATCTGGTGCCTACACTCCAGAAAATTCATGGCTTTTTTACACCCTGTTTGCCTTTCAAATGACTGTTAGGGGAATTCAAGAGCCTTCCAACCTGTTCCGACAGTAAGAACCAGGGCCTATGATCCACAGACTTTGCCACGTTTCTTAAAGATGTCATCCATGCCATCAGCCTGACTGCATGGTGTGCAGCTCCCATCATTATGTCATCCTTAATCTGATGCTCACCCACAAGCACCTACCCAAACCCTTCTCCATGCCATGGAAGCACTTTGTACATCCAAGCTGCCCCTCCACACAAAGGACCTTCCCCCTCCTTCTCTTCCGTGACAGTCTCCCTTGAAGAGCTTTTACCCCAGCAGCATAGGCCTCCAGTTGTGTGAGTGGTGCTAATGCATCTCAGTTATTCCAGTGAAGTTGCAGTCTTGTGACAACTTGTGCACCTGTCTCCATGCCAGGCTACAGGCATTTGCATATATGTGGGCTGCAGAACATGAGATGTGGTACAGAAGACCAATTGGTCCTGGTGAAACCTGTTACCATGAGCCAAAGACACTGTGTGCAATGGCCCCACTTGAGAGCAGAGTCATGCTGGCAGAGAGAGAAGGTGTCAGTGCAATGCTGAGAGGAGATTCCTTCTGAGAGAGCCAAGGCCACAGTGCCCAAGGCCAGGTTGAAACAGAGCTGGCCTGTGAGGGAACGGTGGGAGAGGAGTTTGTTGCTGGAGCTGATCTGTAGCAATTTGGGGCCTGTGACAGAGATGAGCCAATCTCCAGGTGGGAGAAGGTGCCCCTGAAGATGTCCTTGGGCTTGAGCCAGCTGTGATCCACCAATCCTGGGGTCATCATCCACAGTACAGGAGGGATGTGGAGCTGCTGGAGAGAGTCCAGCGCAGGGCCACAAGGATGATCAGCGGCCTGGAACATCTGCCCTATGAGGAGAGGCTGAGGGAGCTGGGCCTGTTCAGCCTGGAGAAGAGAAGGCTGAGAGGGGATCTAATCAGGCACCTCAAGGGAGGGAGTGCAGAGGACGGTGATGGTCTCTTTTCAGTGGTGGCCACTGATAGGACTAGAGGAAATGGCCAGAAACTGAAGCACCAAAAGTTCCACAGGAACTTAAGGAAAAATTTCTTAACAGTGAGGGAGCCAGAGCACTGGAACAGGCTGCCCAGAGAGGTTGGGGAGTCTTCTTCTCTGGAGATCTTCAAACCCGCTTGGACGCAGTCCTGTGCCACGTGCTCTAGGTGACCCTGTGTGTGCGGGGGGTTGGACTAGATGATCTCTAGAGGTCCCTTCCAACCCTAAGCATTCTATGATTCTATGATCATTAGCCCCATCATGTCCTCCGGATGAAAAGAGGTTGCGTGGGAAAAAAGCGAGAAGCTTTTAAGCATGCAGAGACCAGAGCAGACCCCTTGGTGTTGTGTGTCTCTCTCATTTATGAAGCACGCTCAGCTGTAGGAGGGATGGCACATGGCTTCCCATAGATCCCAGGCTGTGCCTCCTAGAGGAGACATTTGGTTATGCTGGACAATTCAGGCATCTGTTTTGGCCTTGCAGCCTATTTCTATGTCACTGAATCAAAGGTCTGCACTGAATTATATGAACTTTTTGCATTGTAATGATCCGCCCAGATCTCTGCTTTATACTGCATGGTGCTCACATAGTAGTGGAAGGCATCTGGGGTCATTTGAGATGGCCAAGGACTTTCCCCATGTGGCCTTCTCCTGAAGCTCCATGAGGATGCAGGTGTCACATTTGCTCTATCAGAGCAAGCAAACAGGGGCACCTTTTCCCTACCTTCTCTGTCTCTTCAACCAGTTTGTGTGTTGTCATCTGACTTGCACCCTCCATCACCAGTGATTACAAGGGGAGCTCAGAGAAGGAGCTCCCATGCACATATCAGTGCTGTGCACACTTCAGAATCCCATCTTCTGTGTGTTTGTGGAGTTCGCAGGAGGAATGTGAATGCCATCCCAGACCAGGAGCTTCTGAACTGGCATGGGATGACCAGATTGACTCATCTGAATCCATGAGCCCCCTTCTTGGCCCTTTCTGGGTGTCCTGCCTATTAGGAACTTCCTAACTAAGGCCTTCTAGGGTGGGACATTTCTAACTTGCATAGAAAATCATCCTCTTACCAAATAGGCTGCAATTTTGAAACCCTTTTTTCTCCACTCATTCGAAAAGGACAACAAGTGTGATCCTTTTAGGTTACTTCATGCACATTTCCCTGGAGGAGGGAACACGAGGGACAGAGAAATTGGTGAGTTCAGCTGGGCCTCTGCTCCTGAGCGGGGCCAGGCTCCTGGGATGGAGGCAGCTCGTGGCATCCTGGCAGCACTGCCCAGAGACAGCCGAGTGCAGGAGCAGCTCCTGTGCCAAGAGTCTCCTGTGCTGCAGACAGAAGAGGAAAGAAGGCAGAGAGAGGTGAATGGCAGTGTGAAGGAGAGAGGAGAGCTTGTTGTGGGAGAAACCTTTTCAGTCCTTGACACAGTGAGTCTCTGGCTGCAGGGTAATGCTGCTGAGGTTCCGGGAGAGAGCCTCAGTGCATGTATCTATGGACTGGGATTTTAATGGTCTCTCCTGGAGTATACAGGGTTTAACAGGAGGAGGAGATGCTTCAGAGCAGGAATTCCCTGCTGCATAGTCACAGGGACAGTGCATCCTGCTCCCTTCTCCCAGGGAAGACGCAGGGGTGTGAAGCTGCGGTCTGCACCCAGCTCTGCACGGGCTGTGATGGAGAGCAGCATCTCCCAGGCCCAGGGTTCTGCGTGCCTGGGACAGTGACTCTGCAGCCTGAGGGGCAGCACCCAGCCTGCCCACACTGCTCCCCACAGCTGTGGGGAAGCGCTGGGTGGGGAGACAGGCACCCCACAGGGCAAGTTCATTCTCCTGCCAGGAGGCTGCTGCATGGGTGAAGTCTGCTCGCAGCTCCAGCTCATACACAGGGCTTGTGCGAGGGGGCCTTTACAGCAGAAGATCAAGAGAAGGGCTACTTGGAAGTCAAGGAGCTTTCCTTTGTGTCTCTGCTCTTTCAGTCTCCTTATTACGGCAAGGAGAATGAAGGAACAAGTTTTCTGCTTTGACAAGTGGGAATCCTAAACCATCACTCTGAAAGATTCATACATCTCCGCAAGCTGCTTCATCCCCATCTTAGCCTAGAGGCAGCATTAATATCATCTTTGTGGCCTCCTAGGACTTTATGTGACCTAATTCTTAGGACCTACAACTGCACAGCTGCCCTTGGACATTGCCTAGAGGTTTCTGCAGGGCAGAGCTGAGCACACAGAGGGTGATATGGGATCTGTGAGCAGTGGCAGGGACAAGACACAGGGACAGAGGAAGAGCTGCCGGCAGGGCAGAGATGGGCAGAAAAGGGGAAGAACGTGCAGGCCAGGAGCCGCCTCCTCTGCAGCCAGACCTGGGAGATCTCTCCTTCCATGGGACCTTTTCCAGCCTCCCCACCAAGGGACTAACGTGTCCCCCTCTGTGAGGTGACATACCCAGCTGGTAAGGTAAAGGTTTTCCAGAATCTCTCTCTGTCCTTCTCCTTGCCTCCTGGGGCAGCACATGAAGGGGGTTGCTCCTTGTTTCCCCTGCTGTCCATTCTGCTCCTGTTCTTGTTCTCATCATTCTGCCATTGGGTGTTTTCAAATGCAGTTCAGACCCTGATGCTTCCAAGTGTGGAACAGAGGGTCTGAATGGGAGTGAGGCTTCCCAAGACTGTCCTGTGGAGCTGCAGGAAAAGCAGTCCCTGGGTCTGGGAAATGAGCTGACTCTCCCTTAAGGAGAGCCCATCTTCAGGGTTCCTGGTGCTTTGGCTCTTGCTTTGTGGTGTCCTGGCAGACTGCCACCTGCCCTGCAGAAAGGCTCTGCTGTTTCACGGCTTGTCTGTGATATCTGAGCAACTCAAGAGGAAGCTGCAGAGATGCTGAGGATATGGAGGTGGTGGTGGGAGGCTGTCCAGGAGCAGCTGAAACGAGTCCTGAGTGTCCTTGGCCAGGAGTGTGGAGCCCTCCCCTAGGTGTATGGAGACAGAGTGAGAAATATGAAGATGGACACTTGGAAACTGCACTGCTCTGCTCTCAGCAGGACCTGTCTCATTTGAAGGCAGCATATGAGCACAATCATCCTCTAGCTCAAGGAGACAGGAGCACAGGACGGCTGGGAACAGACTAACAGACAAATGAGATGTCCTCACTCTGCACATAGTGACCATGGATGCATTCCCCTAAGGACTCAGAGCTGAAATGTGAAGGATTTGTCCTTTGGGAAACACTTCCCAAGAGTGAAAAGACCATCTCAAAGAAACTAAAAGATATTGTTCCTCAAACATCTTTGCTTACTCTTGAGAGGAAAGATGCTAAAAAGCTCATTTATATCTCAAAAGAATCTCATTGCCATAAAAGGTAGAATGTCCAAATGTGTGACCTCCGTTCCCCACTTCCCACTACTGTTCAGCATGACAGACTCCCTGCAGTCCATGGGTTGAGTCCCTGCTCCTCACAGCACACACAACCACTGCAAAATGGAGCTCAGGCAAAGGAATTGCACTAAGATACTCTTGCTAAAGAGAGGCAGTGGGGGCTGATGTTGGAAAATTGAATGACTTGGGATTTTTTTTTTCATGAAAAGTGTCTCCTAACTTCTCAATGTCTTCTCTTCTTTAGGTAGTCTTACATAATTGGAGGGAGCTAATGTCCAACAGCAGCTACTTCAGTGAGTTTCTCCTATTGGCATTTGCAGATAGGCGGGAGCTGCAGCTCTTGCATTTCTCACTCTTCCTGGGCATCTATCTGGCTGCCCTCACAGGCAATGGCCTCATCATCCCAGTCATAGCCTGCAACCACTATCTCCACACCCCCATGTACTTCTTCCTCCTCAACCTCTCCCTCCTTGACCTTGGCCGCATCTCCACCATTCTCCCCAAATCCATGGCCAATTCCCTGTGGAACACCAGGACCATTTCCTATTCAGGATGTGCTGCCCAGGTCTTAAGTTTTTACTTTTTCATTTCAGCTGAGTATTCTCTCCTCACAGTCATGGCCTATGACCGCTACGTTGCTATCTGCAGACCCCTGCACTACGGGACCCTCCTTAGCAGCAGAGCTTGTGTGAAAATGGCAGCAACTGCCTGGGCAGCTGGCTTTCTCAATGCTCTCCTGCACACTGTGAACACATTTTCCATTCCACTCTGCCAAAGCAATGAGGTGGAGCAGTTCTTCTGTGAGATTCCTCAGATACTTAAGCTCTCCTGCTCAAACTCATATTTAAGGGAAGCTGGAGTTATAGTGGCCAGTCTTTGTTTATTCTTTGTATCTTTCATTTTCATTGTGGTGTCCTATGTACAGATCTTCAGAGTTGTGCTGAGGATCCCCTCTGAGCAGGGCCGGCACAAAGTCTTTTCCATGTGTCTGCCTCACTTAGCTGTGGTCTCCATGTTTCTCAGCACTGGAACATTTGCTGACCTGAAGCCCCCCTCCATTTCCTTCCCAGCTCTGGATCTGGTGGTGGCCATTCTGTACTCACTGGTCCCTCCAACATTTAACCCACTCATCTACAGCCTGAGGAACGAAGAGCTCAAGAATGCCTTGAGGAAACTCATCCAACTGGTCTAATGCCAGCAACAAGTTCTGTCTCAGGGGATTTAGCATTGATGATATATGTTTTTCATGTATTCTTTCTTGCTTTTTTTCTCTTACATTCCTGTAAAGGAAAAAAATTATTCTGGTTAATGCCATTTCTCCGCAAGAAGCTCTCATTTGAATCAGCTACAGGGACCATGTTAAAGCAGGACATTAGGCTTCCCCCTTCACCAGCAAAGAGAGGGGAAATTCAGAGCCCACTGTTCTGAGCAACCTCAGATGCCCCCGTGCAGTGAGGAGAGTTTCCCTGTGCAGTGTCTCTTCCAGCACTGACTCCAAGGGAGATCAGGGGCACAGAGACAGGGGGCTCATACAAGTACAGACAGAGTGATACCAGGGCTCCCGTGACCACTAGGAGAGCTCAGCTCCCCTAGCCACAGTCAGGGGGTGATTTTACTTGCTGTGCCGTGAGGGTCATAGCCACATGTTGCTGTACACTGGTCCCTTCCCGCTACACTGCTCCAACACTCCAAGTGGGGCATGAGTGGAGGGGAGGAGAGGCTGGATGCAGCCTCTCAGGTCTATTTGCCCTAAGTGCTCTTGTAGCATGGTGCTTCCCGGTGCATTTCTGTGCAGGACCGGCCCTGGGCACCCTCATGCCAAACCTGGCCTCCACAATACCAATACCTGTAATAAAAGAGCATCTCCCCTGTGGTTTGCCTCAAGAGTGGCCTCTATTCAAAGATTCATCTCCAAGAATTGCACGGAAAGGGGTCTTGGTGTTCTGCCTGTGAACTCCATGGGATCCAGGGGACGAGCTCCGAGGATGTTTGATCTGTGTGATATCCTAGGGACCCAGGGCAGCACTCGGAGTTCACCTCTCTGTGACCAGTGCCAATGGAGATGGGAAATGCTTTCTGAATCACCTGCAGCAGGCTGCCCCACAGATGGTAGTGCTGCTGGGAGTTGTCCTCCATCCTTGTGGAGGAGAATCTCCAGGAGATGCCCAGGAGAGCTCAGGAGACCTCCACGGCCCAGGTGAGGGCAGTGAGTGGAGCCCCACAAAAAGAGGGATGCTCAACCAAGGAGTAACCAGAAGATAAAGCTACCAATGCAGGCGCACATGAGGAAAGAAGGGCTCTGCAAGTGCAGGAGAGGTACTGGGGAGCCAGGAGGCCCAGGGAAGGGGCACTGCAGGGTCATCCCTGCACCCACCATGAAACACCAGAGGTGGGAGCTAGTGCCCACCCAAACACAAATCCTGCCATTGCAAACACCCTGGGCTTGCTCTGAGCACTGTCCATGAGCACAGACAAGTCCCAGCAGGATGCCTGTTCAGCTGGGTCTGCTTCTCTCCCTGACCACCATGGACATGGCCTCACAGCTGGTCTCTTTGCAAAGCAGCACCAACAGTCTGGGTCCCCATGTGCAGCACAGGGCAGGGTGCAGGAGCAGCGCATGCAGCAATGGAGACATTGATGTGAGGAAAGGCTCTGTGGGGGGCAGAGATGTCCCAGGAGAGAGGCAGGGCAGCATGCGGAGAAAGAAAATGCAAAGGGGAGCCAGGTTTCTGTGTGCCCCAGCTGAGGGCAGGAGCTGCCGCAGGCTCTGCAGGGCCGGGGTCCTGTGCTGTGCTGGGCAGTGGGGTGGGCTTGGAAGGGGCTGCAGGTAGACAGGGAGGGGATGTGCTGTGCACGAGAGCAGGGGAGACACAGAGGGATCAGCCTCCTTGCTGGGCCTCATCTCCCTTGGGAGGAAGCTGCTGCCCTTGGCCTTGGCCTGGTCATGCCACGGACATGGCAGAGCCTGGCCCTGCACCTCTGGCATTCTGACCAGCTGACCTCACTGCCCAGCTCTGCCTTGCACCTGCCACCACCCTGCAGTCCACAAAGCCTTGACAAGGGAATCTGGAGCTGTAGAAGACCCCACAGAATCAAGGATGCTTGAGATTGGAAGGCACCTCTGGAGATCGTCCAACTCCCCTGTTCAATCAGAGTCACATAGACCATGTTGCACGGGATTATGTTCAGGTTGGTTTGGAATATCTCCAGGGAAGGAGACTCCACAACCTCTCTGGGAGAACTCTGCCACTGCTCTGTCACCCTCACACTCAAGAGGATTTTCCTCCAATTCAGGCAGAATTTTCTGTGCTTCCATTCGTGACCGTTGCCTCTTGTCATGTCAGTGGCCCCATTCATGGCAGAGCTCGGAGGGTGGTTATAAATCAGGCTGAGTCTAGTTGAGGTCTGTGGCCGGGGATGTCCCACAGGGATCAGTAGTGGGCCCGGTGCTCTTCAACTTGTTCATCAATGACTTGGCACAGGCAATGACAAGGACACAGAGTGCACCCGCAGCAAGTTTGAGATCAATACCAAACTGGGTAGAGTGGCCAACACTCCAGAGGGCTGTGCTGCCATGCAGGGAAACCTAGACAGGTTGGAGAGTTGGGCAGAGAGCAAAGAGGAACCTTGAGATTCAATAAGGACAAGTGCAGGGTTCTGCACTGGGGGAGGAATAATCCCAGACATCAGCACAGATTAGGGGTTGACCTGCTGGAAATCAGCTCTGTGGAGAGGGATTTGGGAGTCCTGGTTGACAACGCCACCCATGAGGCAGCAATGTGCCCCTGCAGCCAAGAAGGCCAATGAGATCCTGGCCTGCATCAGGAGGAGCATTGCCAGCAGGGTGAGGGAGGTGATCCTGCCCCTCTACTCAGCTCTGGTGAGGCCGCACCTGGAGTACTGTGTGCAGTTCTGGGCTTCCCAGGACAAGAGGGATGAGGAGCTTCTAAAGAGGGTCCAGCGTAGAGCCATGAAGATGATTAAGGGACTGGATCATCTATAGTATGAGGAAAGACTAAGCAAGCTGGGCCTGTTTAGGCTGGAGAGGAGAAGGTTGAGAGGAGATCTGATCAACATGCACAAGTCCCTGAGAGGTGAATGTAGGCAGGATGGGGCCAAACTCTTCTGCGTTGTAGCCAGTGAAAGGACAAGGGATTCCTGTCGAAACACAGGAAGTTCCACCTCCATATGAGGAAGAACTTCTTTCCTGTGAGGGTGACAGAGCCCTGGGACAGGCTGCCCAGAGAAGTTGTGGTCTCCTTCTCTGGAGATCTTCAAAACCCACCTGGACGCCACTCTGTGCCACATGCTCTAGCTGTCCTTGCGTGAGCAGGGGAGTTGAACTAGGTGATCCCTAGAGGTCCCTTCCAGCCTCAGCCATTGTGTGATTCTGTGAAAATCACTGTTCATATTAATAAAACATATTTCTATTTCTTTCATAAGGGTGAAAGTATTGCATCTCTTGCTTCCACTTTTTCTGTGACAGCCTCATTCTTGTCTAACAGCACTGAGGCAGCAGCGACCTTACAGCCCCATATCTGAGCCATGTGCCTGCTGCCGACTGGAGAAGGATGGTCAGTTATTGCAGCCACAGGCAGTGGAGTGACATGAAGACCCCCCTGCCCCAGCCCTGTTTTTCCTGCATTTACTCGAAGGACTTTTTTTTTTCACATAATTGCTACTTTCCTCTTCTCCAAGGATGTCCCTACTCCCCAGAAGGAGTTTCCCCAAGGACTACATTGGTTCTGGCCTGCATGGCCATTCCTGCAGCATTTCCCGTGCCTGTTGCAGAGACCCAAGCCATTGTACAGTGAGCAGGATGTTGTAGCCCAAGGTCGTGAGGTGGTTCTGCACTGGCCACTGTGGTCAGGGTGTTTGGGTTGTGGATCAAACCCAGTTTAAAAGGCATCATTGCATATGATAATCCCGCACCAAGCACTCTATGGCTCCGGAGGATGCTCTGATCAATCACAGGGCATTTTCAATTGCTCAGGCTGTGTTCAGGGACGTATGCCAAATGCCTTTTTTTTTTTTTCATAGAAGGTGATATCAGCCACTCTCCAGGCTCACTTCCCTGTGCCTGTAGGGTCTGCATAGTGTGCACCTGCCAACAGCCCTGTCATGTGGGGCACAATCCCAGGCAGGTACCACTTGGGCATTTGCCAACACAATGGGGACTGGACACCCTCAAATGAGAGCTGAATCCAGCCTTCATTCCCCATCCTTCTCCATCACCCCATGATTTCACAGTCTTGAGCTCATGCAGAGAGCCCCAGAAAAGCAACAGTGTGAAAGTCCTTGAGCTCATTCTTGGCTCCAGTTGTGGAAGAACAAACCAACTTTCAAGCCCAGCACTGAAGAAATATTTGTTATTACAGAGATCCACCCTCAGAGAGAGCAATAGACACATTTACAAAAGGTCCTTGGATGAGACAGACCCAGTAGAGCCTGCTGGAGAAGTGGGATGAATTCATGTAGGTTTGTACGGACATTATCACAGATACAATGGCCAAAGTGCAAGAGCAGTCTGAGAAAATTAGAAATGACCTGTGAAGAGAGATGAGCAGTTTATTGCTGCTGAGCTAGTACCAGATGAATCTGTTTCTTCAATGCCTCCTTGAGCTCCTTGTTCCTCATGCTGTAGATGACAGGATTCAGCGCTGGAGGCACCACGGAGTACAGAGTGGCCACCACCAGATCCAGAGCTGGGGAAGAGATGGAGGGGGGCTTCAGGTAGGCAAAAAATGCAGTGCTGACAAAGAGGGAGACCACGGCCAGCTGTGGGAGGCACATGGAAAAGGCTTTGTGCTAGCCCTTCTCAGAGGGGACCTGGAGCACAGCTCTGAAGATCTGCACGTAGGACACCACAATGAAAATGAAACACGCAAACAATAAACAAATACTAGCCACAATAAATCCAACTTCCCTCAAATAAGAGTCAGAGCAGGAGAGCTTGAGTATCTAGGGAATCTCACAGAAGAACTGCCCAATGACATTGACTTGACACAGCGGTGTGGAAAATGTGTTCCCAGTTTGCAGGAGAGCATTGAGAAAGCCACTAGCCCAGGCAGCTGCTGCCATTTTGAAACAAGCTCTGCTGTCCATGAGGGTCCCGTAGCGCAAAGGCTGGCAGATAGCAACGTAGCGGTCATAGGCCATGATTGTGAGGAGATAATACTCAGCCAAAATGAA